TGTCTGTTGAGAAAGTGTGTGAGTGAGCGAGCGCGTGTGCGTGCGTGCATACGCGTCTCTGCTCAACTGCCTGCATGGCTGTTTCGCTGCTTGCCTAGCTGTCTGTCTATTCGTATGCGAGATTGTCTCCGGATGCGCTCGAGCCTTCCAACAATGCACACACGCCCATCGGCGGTTGCTGGTTCTACATGCGTTCGTATGCAAAGACCTTTGTGCGACAAATCTGTCCGTGCGTCCGTCTGTCTCGATTCTCTCACCCTCTCTCTCTGTCTCTCTGTCTTTGTCTGTCTGTCTTCGTTTTTGACTTACTTGGCTTGCACAGTGACTGCAGTGTCTTGCGTATGCAGTGTTATTATAAAGGAGACTGCCTTCGGAGCAGCGATTATTTTACAGCCTTGCTCTTCCTTAGACTCCGTTCATGCACCTCCGGAAACCTGGTGGCCGCATCCTGCTCGGATGACATGAGACTACCCTGCACACATTCACCAGTCCCAAACACATTCCCTGAACATATTTTGGCGATGGGCAGGAGTCCATCGCCTTGCTCTACTGGCTCCTGGCCAGGGAGGTCATGCACGTCGTCTTGTAACATATGTTCGACCGTCCGTAGCACTTCTTCAATGTCAAACCTGAATGCCTTGTTCATCAAGACGGGAGGTTCTTTACCTGCGGGGAAGCATGCCGCGCACGCAGCCGTGGGACGTGATGGTTGACTCGTGCTCCGGCAGCAGCTTCGGAGACTCTTGCGGAGTTCATGAGACTTCGGAAATCAGCCTCCAGGTTCTTCTGGCGCGACCCCGAGGAGATCATGCAGCAGGAGGCAGGTGCTGCCACACTGGCAAGAACATGGGGCTTCAGCCGTCCCTTAAATTCTTTCTGTGCAGGCTGCGTAGATGATCGCATGCGTATTTTGAGGTTTGCGGTTGGAGAATTGCGATGATTGCGATGCACATGTCTTATAAAATCCCTTGAATGCAATTTCTCACACATCATCCACCCTTTGCTCGGGAAGACCCGAGCCACTTTTGTTACTTGAGGGCAGGACGACTCAGAATCCCTTCAACCCGATGTGCACGACCCGAAGCTTCCGTTGTGAAACCCAGCTGGAGCAGGAGCCTGCGGCACCGCAGCAGGCCACAGCCAAAAGAACGACCTAACCATGGAGCTATGCTTATGACTATTGATAGTCGATGTGGGGGTGTTATGATTTAACAAGGGGATGGCATAGTACATGCAAGACTTGGTTGCAGCTACGACCATGCTGTATCATCCCGTGACATGGCTACAACCTCGTGCGTTCCGTGTGCATGCATGAGAGTAGAAAGAAGTGCCATGCAACATAGCATGTCTTATATTGACATCGAAGCAAGAAAGAGCCAGTTGCAAGATTGCATCGGACTAACTGACTAACACAGACAGGGCAGCAGTGCGGCCATGCAGCCGTGAATAAGGTGACACTGTTCCACTACGACATTATGTTAAACTCACCCACACACAGAGTAGCAGTAGTATGTAGAGGTAACAGCAGGGAGTGCGACATTGCAATTCCGTGCTACGTCCGCAATACGACATCTTGCTATACGGGGCTAGATTCAACACGAAATCCTTCGGGTCTTAGTCTTGGACATTTGGCATTGCAATCTGTTCACGTAACTCTATGAAAATGGCATCTCTACGCAATCATACTGTCGTCTGGTCGCAGTCCCTGCAATATACAAACCAGGGCTAGATTCATTTTCTGAAGTGTCACTGATGCTGATTTGTGCTTCCGGCAGTGATGACCCTTTTCACAGAGTCGTCACTGCGGTTGGTGCTGCTGTCCTTCGAAATACTACTAGCAAAAAACAGCTCTGTCGTTAGCACGAAGAGCGGAGCTTGTATCTCTGATGATTAGGCTTGGCGGCACCACAATCTGTTCTGTTCCCATGTGTGCGTGTCTACTGCGTCGCCATCACTGGCTAGAACTGATTCAGTTTTGAGCCTTGTCATTCACGGACTTTTACCGGTTTCGTTTTCGTGTGCAGGCCTATCCAGCATTTTTGAGTACCATCGCCTCCTGTCGCTTATTCACCTGCAGAGTGCTCTTAAGGCAGCTCACTGTTTGCCCTAGGGCTGCCCATGGCTCAGCCAGTACGGCATCATTTCTCAACCATAGGATGCTATTGTTCTGGCTACGGGTTACGATTCCGACAGCTACTACGGGCTGCTTGGACTGAAACGGAGCAAAGAGCCTAAATTGTCCTTCCTGTTAGGTGAGCGGTCTCCTGTTGTGACGACATGAGGCAGTAGTAGATCACCCGAAGATGAGCTCGGGGTTACGGGCTGTTGAGCCCGGTTCTTACGAGTTCGTATCGTATTTTTGCGTGCTGAGTGTGGAAGCCAAGATGACACCAACCGCGAACCCCGTTTGTTCAGCGTGGCCATGACACGACTGCGACGGCGAACCTGCAGAACTACTAATATTTTTTCCCTTGCCCCGCCCGAAAGCAACAGGAATGGGCCGCCCCGGCACAGGCCTGGGAGGGCGCAGGCGGGTTATGCATGTGTCTTTGCGCATGCTACTCTTTGTCACAAGCGCACAAAAATGCTTTAGGGATTTGCGTGGTTAGAAGGTGCCCTCAACGTGACACAAAGTGCGATCATGACTAAGTTCTTTATTGGTACGCTTTTCAACCTGGAATCTAGTCGTCCACGGTCTACAGCTCAGGGGTTGTCCATCTGAAAGTAGTTGGTTCTTCCAGCTACCTCACTGAATCTGCCAAAGCTGTGCAGTAGAGTAGATGCCAGAAAGTTGGAACATGGGTTCAGGATGATTACTGCTCGGATTCCTGAATCCCACATCCCGATAAGCACTGTAAAGTCCTCTTTGACCTGAAGATCCGGAGAATCCGGAATAAATCCTTAAGAAGCTCGCCCTAGGTGGTGGTGGCAATTGGGATGACATGACCAACGCGGCCGCTGGTGATGCCTCCTGGGATGCCCCCGCAGGCATCTTTAGGGTTTGTGTCGCGCGCGTCTGTTGTTTTAGGGTGTTCGCGGGTGTGAGCAAGATCTTGATCTTGGTTATGCTGGAGTGTTTGCTCTGTCTTGTCGTCTACGATTTCTGTAGTGTGTTTTAGGGTCACAGGGCTTTTCGAGTGTTTTGGCAGTTCTCGCTTTGTGAGCCGAGCGGTAGCAGCTTTAGATTAGAAGCTTGTTCTACTGCTAGACTACTGCTACTATTGTTGCTTCTGCCTCCAAGATGCCCTGCAACGACTACTGCTACTGCTACTGCTCCTGCTGCTGGCAGCCATCGCTCAGCCAGTCTGCTGAGAAGATGTCAGGGTGCTTTCTACCTTTGGTTGTGGATGAGGCGACCATGATGACAAGTTCCTCGGGGCTATAAGTCGTCATGGGGATGATGTCCGTGATTATGATGGCAATGAGGGTGCGGAGTTGGAGATGAAGGAGCAGGCGAAGGACGACGATGACATTCGCTTCTGTTCCGTAATTGTTCATTGAGGGCAGACGAAGAACGACCAGCATGGACAAGTGATTTGCAAAGTGCTGGAAGTCTCCACGAGATCAAGACCGGGAAGCAGCAGAAATCTTCAAGAACCCGGCACCCGCGTGTGAAACGCTGATCGTCAACATCCTTTCACAGCCTAGTATTGCAAAGAAAGTAAAACTGCTCGGCGACTGCCACAGCTGCTCGGCCTTCGCTACGACCAGACTTGATCGTCTCTTGGATTGCCTCTGCCAATCCATGATCGCTGGTACGATTTGATGTTTTCAAATGTTCATAGCTGCAGATTCAGCAATCATCCATCTCTTCGTTATTACCTGAACTCATAGTCTCAGCATCGTGACAGCTCATGATGCAGTTGCTGCTGCGACCATGCAGTGCGAGTTGTCGGTGAGTCCTTGTAATGCAACTAAACCCGAGCCTTCATTATAGTATAATGGGCCCCACAACTCTATTCTAATTCTTAAGACCCCTACATTCGTTGAAGCAGGTGGTGGTGATGACTGGAGCGCCCCACAGCAGGCGCAGGGCGGCGGCGGCGGCGGCGGCTGGTGAGCCGAGTCGGAGCAGTAGGATGGCACCTTCAGTCGGACGAGAGAAAAGAGCGCTCCGATTGCCGGCTCCACAATGTGCGATGTTTGCAGCCTTTAACCTTGCATCCCGTGGAGCATGCATCTTATGCCAGCACCTCTCCTGTGGTTGGCTTTGCTGCTAGTTGTCGCACTTACGGGGCAGGGGATGACTTGCTTGGCTGGGCGGCCTCCAGCACCATCCGCAACCTCGCCTGTCAACTGCCCAGAAGGTTCCTCTTGTACCTCAGTCTAGTGCATTGCCTTTCCCACTCTGCCAGGTCAGCTTCGCCGTTCAAGAGGCGGGCAAGTCTGCGTGCGTGGGATTCCGGGCCTGGGATCTTCAAGGTGGTTTTCGTGCGAAGGACTTCATGGACAAGCGGTTCTTTCCTTCCAGACGCCCCCCCAATGCAGAATGCATCACACACTGCATCATGGCCATCAGCAGCTGTCCGCTCATGAGCAGGAAGCACCCCACTTTGTCAGCAAAAACCAGATCGTGGAAAGACACCTTGCAGAAAGACCGCTTGTTGCGTGGCCAGGCGCTTGCATCTAGACCTAGTCGTGTGCGTCCTTGCTTTTTCGGCTCAGCTGTTCGTTTCGCCGCCAGTCACACAAAAATAGGTGAGGCGGCCGAGATGGGTACTGTACTAGATGCATCCAGGTGCCACTTGGTAGATCCGAAGATCAAACACACGCGGATAGACTGCATATACTATAGACTGTAAACTACAATAGACAGCACACAATGCAATGTGTATGTTAATATGTTCAGTGTCTGATACGTAACACTTACGACAGAAGACATAACACATTCTAGAATGTTGTGCGAACGAAAATACAACTTTCTTTTAAGAAGGAGAGTGTGCGGGGGACTATATCATATATCATAAACCCTCGTGTTTGGAGTCCTGCGCTAGGCCAGGATGAGCTGGCATGGGGGCTTCGTGTCCTCTGGGCTAGTTGCCCTGCTTGCCATTTTGACATCTCGGTGCCTCTTCAAAGGGCACGGCAGCTTCGCTTCCGTCTATGTCCCCAAGCAGCAAGGACTCTTTGGAAACACCTCTTTGCTTGAAATCGTTGATGCAGCTAGGGCAAAGCCCGGGCAGAAGCAAAAGTGCAGCGACGCACGACCCCGGGTGGTTGTGACTATGTCTACGTTTGAGGGGAGACTTGGTAATCTCAAGATGGCACTGCAGTCGCTGGCAGTTCAAAGCTGCACCCCCGATGCCATTTACGTCTTCGTTTCGCAGAACCCTTTCACCAAGTCTGTGATCAAAGGCCAGGGTGCAGGCGGTAATGGTGGCGATGGCGTCGTCGGAGACGATGCGTTTTGGGAAGACATCACAAATATTCACAGTAGCATCATTGTGAAGCATATCGCCGACGACTGGGGGCCGGCCACAAAGTTGCTTGCAGCTCTGCAAGTGGAAAGCGATCCAAGCACATGGCTGATCACAGTGGACGATGACACAAAGTACCATGTGGACACAGTTCTTGCGTTAGTCCTGGCGGCGATGAACCTCCCGTGGAATAGCTCCCCGGCTTTCTGGTGCGAGGAGGCTTGGGCTGACGGTTACCGAAGTCTGAAGAAGAGGACTATGAGTCGGGGTGAGGAGGGCACCGTGCATGGATGGTGTGGAGGCTTTGCTGGCGTTCTCTTCAAAAGGTTTATGCTCGGTGACCATGTCTTCAACTTCAGCCAGGCCCCCATCGGATGCCGATCTCATGATGATGTTTGGTGGGGTGGCCATCTGCTCAGTGCAGGAAACACTCCCTACTTGATAGATCCAGGATTCTTCTCTGTTGAGTGGTCTCCAACCTCATCCTCCGAGAGGCAGGCATTAAGCGTTCATGTCCTGGACGGCATGGCTAGAACCTCTGGGAGCGATCTTCAAAGTCAGTGTTTGAGCCTTGCGCAGTAACATTTTCAAGTCACGCCTTTATAGACATCCCCCCGGAAACACTGAACTTGTCCGCTTGCCGTTTGCCATTGGACCCAGGTGCGCGTCTTGGTTTGCAGCCCTTCGAGGCGTCCATCTGGATTCCTTTGACGACAATGACGTCTTCAGACATCCTGAGGCCACCTCTCAGAACGCCCAAGACCTATCCATCCTGAAGCAGTTCTTCTCCAGTGCGAAGGGCATGCGACCAAGCGGAACATTTGTGGAATTCGGTGCGCTGGATGGAATTGCTCACTCCAATACCAACTTCTTCGAAGCTGCCTTAGGTTGGTCTGGGGCGCTTGCGGAGCCGTCTCACTACGCCAATGACCTGAACAAGAACCGACCACGCAGTTTCGCGCTGCATGGAGCGATCTGCGGAAAGTCGGGCCTGAGAAATTTCGTAGACGCAGATTGGCCCGGCGTCTCCGGCTTTGAGGATGTACTCGACCCAGGATTCCTTGAGGACATGAAGCAAGGCCGTTTATGGTTCAACTTCACCATCCATCAGCTCAAGTGCCACACCCTCCAAGAGTTGCTTGACTTAGCAAAGCTGCGGCATGTTGACTACATGTCCGTGGATACGGAGGGCAGCGAGCTAGAGATTCTCGACGCCTTCCCCTTCGACCAGTACCAGATCGACACGATCCAAGTAGAGTCGAAATGGAACGATTGCGTTGTCATACGAGATGGATGGTCGCGTGCCGACGTTTGGAAGTATTGGTGTTACACGCAAGAAGGTCCACAGAAGCTTATCCAGCTCATGACCTCGAAAGGCTACTCGTTGGCAGGGACACATGTTGTCAGCTTGGGCGATGGACTCATCCGAACCAGTATGCACCATCTCTGGCGCCCAGTGCACATAGCAGGAGAAATTACTGTTGATCTCTTTTTCCGGCTAGGCTGAGCTGATTTAGGCGCAAAAAGTCACACAGGGTGGCTGCTGCCACGTAGGCGAATGCACGCTGACCCGAGGCCGAAATGAAGGTGAAAAAGTGTTGACGTGGTTCACCGGCTGCCGAAAGGAGCGGGCAGTTTGTGGGATCCTTAGATGCAAGTGGCATAGAAACAAACTGCCGGAGTCCCAAGACCTGGGAATAAAGACACCGCGTCTTGGCCAGGATTCTAGGCCCGAAGATCACAACGCGTACCACAAGCGACTCGTTACATGTTGAGGGCTTGGGCCCGGCATTGAAGCTTCCTCAGCCACGTTAGCACCCGTAGAACCCACAAGCGCGGCTTCGGTCTGTCGGACCTGCATGCCAGCGTGAACAAAATATCCTAGTTGTAGAGTAGGCAACCCTTAACCTTTCTGGGGTAGTATGATCCCTATATAACCCCCATATACTTTTAACGCTACGCCGCCTGCCTCGGCTCTTTAGCGGCAGGGCAAGGGGGCAGTGGATGTCGTATACACCATGCTAGGGGGGCTTCTCAACCCCAACCTTTAAATGGTTGGAGGGAGGGGGGAGGGGGGAGGGGGGGGGAGGGGGGGGGAGGGGGAGTAGGGGGAGTAGGGGAGGGGGGAACAGGAGGAGGATTAGGCGGAGGTTCCGAGGTAATCCCCAAGACGCCTGGGCCTGTGGCCTCGGCGGAGTTATTATTTACTTCCCCATGAGACCCGACAAGTAGGAAATATATATATATATATATATATATATATATATATATATTATATAAGGCTTTCCAATGGATGGTACAGACGATGTAGTTCTCTAAAGCTGCAGCGGAGGGTAAGCCATGGGCTGGGAGCTATCGGAAACATCAAACACGTAACCTTTAAAGCCCAAAGCCTGGAAGCCCTCATCGGAGTGCCTAGTCTAGGAATCCAGCAGCATGGACAAAATGCGCATGGCTTCCGGATTCTGCTCTTGAATTTGAGCCGAACCGCTGCCTCTAACCCCAAGCCCAAGCCTTCCATGTCACCTTTGACAAGACTTCAGGAGGCGCCCCTTAGCCGGAAGTGGATCAGCTTTACCTGGAGGCTAAGTAGTAGTTCCTTTCTGGGGTTCATATCTAGAATCCTACAAGGTAATCCCAAAAAGGAGCTACTTTGGGGCCTATGGGTAATGCCAGAGACCGGGACTTTTTTTCCCGAGATTCCTCAAGTCCCAGTGCTACATATGTCCAAGGAAGATACTCAGCGAAGCTCCAAACCAGGAGGCGAGATGGATGGCGTTTCGGCTGCGGCGGTGGCTGCCAGCCATGTGAGTCCGAAAATGAACGGAGCAGGGTTCTCGTAATATGTTTGTCAACCCGGGGTGGGGCTTCGCTCGCCCGCACGATCGCCAGCAGCGACTCAACACCACCGCCAGTCAGCAGCAGCACCAGCACCATCACCACGAGCACCTGAGCATCGGCATGTGACGATGCCGCACTTCTACTAAGGACGTTCATTGAGTGGTCCGATCAAGGTGGTACCAAGCGGATCCAACGGCGGGCTTGCAGGTTGGGAACTGTTCAGGAGCTTAAGCATGGTTCGCGATGCTTGGGCCATTGTAGTATAGCCACTGTCGTTTGCGCTTGTCACTAGCACGGCAGGTGTTTGCGAATCCACGACCATAGTAAAGATGCATCAACAGCCAGGCATTCACTCTTTCAGTAAACGGATGCACTTTCTCATTCTTTCTTGAGTGATGGTTTAGGACAGGAACGCTACATACCAACTGAGCGCCGCTTGTATTTATCCGCATCAAGGTGGAAGACTGCCCACGTTTCGTAGCAGCAGCCTCACAAATCAAGCCGTCCACAAGATGGACTTCCGCAGACAGGTGCAGAGCTTATTGTTATTATCGGCTTCTGCGTGGAAACCTTCGTGCAAGACAGAAAAGTCTCCATGTTCCCCCGTTCTCGGTTCAAGCTTCAGCTCGTGTTTCCCATTGTACCAAATGAAAGGCGAGTCTGACGACACAGCACGGGGTGCCTTCTCCACTGCAGCCGGTATACGGGTGAAAGTTTTTTGCAGGAGGATTCTCTGCGGGAGGCTGCGTATTAAGCATGCAGCTCAGCTTGCCGGGCTACTGTTGTTGCTGCTGTGCGTCCTGTTCACGTGGCTTCAGTTTCCTGGGCCCAGTGGCCACGGCAACTTGTCTCCAGAGTGCGAAGGCAACGGCAGTGACTGGAACACAGAGTGGGACATGTCCAGCCCTGGCACTGAAGCGACGCTCGAAGCCTGCGCACTTATCTACCCCATGTCTCATTCAGAATTGGAAGATGCGGTTCCTCAACTCAAGTCCTGTGTTGTCACCACGTACGCAAAACATTTCCAGCGGGTTATGGAGCAGACGACTTGCCGCGCCAAAACTCTCGAGGATGCTGATATCATCTGGATGCCTGCATACTTTGGCTGCAACTGCAATTGGCCAACCTACGACGGGGGCAGGTGTGAGTCAACCGGGAACGCTGTCCGTCTAGGAAAGAAGTGTGTGGAGGAGGTATTGCTCGGGGTGGACTACATCCTTGCAGAAGTCTGGAAAACACGAAGCCAAAAGCAGCCACGTGTGGTGATTCTGGACGACAATGGCCACGAAGCTCCGGACTGTTGCAACTACTTTACCATTCCACCTGGGCTTTGGCAAGGCCAACCCTGCTTCAACACTCATTTCCTGCCTGCTGAACACTATGCACGGCCCGAGCTGCTGTGGGCATTCCGTGGTGCGACCTGGCCACTGTACCGCAAGGGGATTGACATCGCTTTGCCCTCGCCACCCCACGACACAGCCTCTTGGCCACCAGCCAGCAGCCCTCTGAAGTCACGGAAGTATTTTGCAACCTTCAAAGGGAAGCTGTTGATGCATCCGATACGGGTCTACACGCACAGGCATTTCCATAACAAGACTTATGAAGGCAAGAAAGTGGTGATTGCAGAGCGCATGACCGACGAGTTTGTCAAAGGTTACGGCGAGGTACTGCACGAAACGGTCTTTTCACTATTGCTGCGAGGGGACACTCACTCGACTCACCGGTGGAACGACGTGGTTTGCTCAGGCTCAGTTCCGGTTCTCGTTACGGACTATATGATTCCACCATACAACGAATTGGTTCCTTTTGAATCGTACGGCGTTTTCGTGCGGGAGAGTCACATTGACAGCATCTGGGTGCAAACTTTAGTTACCCTGCTGTACACACTGTTTTTTTTGACGAGGAGAGTTTTTCAAAAGTAGCTAAGCCCAAAGTCTTGAACCTTTAAACCTTGGCCACCGTAGCCGCCGCACATCTCTGAACCATAATCCGTCACCCTAAATCCGAAGACCTTCGCGTCGAAAAAGTCTCGAGGACTCATGGACATCCTCCAAGCTGTCAGCCAGGAGGAGCGGGAGGCCAAGCGCGCTGCTTCGCTGCGCCGCCCAGACGAGTTGGTTCATTACGGTGAAGAGGGGTTAGGGTGTCTATAAGGGTGAACCCATTTGCCAGGACGTAGTAGAAGGACCAAAGAGACCATTCTATGCCCCTCGAGGAAGGGCGAAGGCTTTCTTCAGGTTCTTCATCCACGGGCTTTTAGGGTTTTCAGGAGTTGGACGTTGTGAGCAGTTTCAGGTCGAGGCCGTTGCATGTTTCACTGCTCAATTTGTTGACTCTTCGGCAGCATTCGCTGAGGGCATTTCGGATCAGCGCCCCCGTCTCAATCCTGTATCAACATGTTCTTCCCAGGGGCCTGCCGGAACTTCTTTCAGACGGTGGAAGTCCAGGCGCGTCGGGCACAGATACACGAGCAAGAAACCGTGTGCACTCAGCGCATGCCTGCCCACTAATTACCACTAGATATCACTAACCACCACGACCACCACTGGACAGCTACTGCCGCAATTATTACCACCACCTCCCCTAAATCTGTAGTCCTGCCCCTGCGCAGGCCTTGTCCCTGCGAAGGCTGCTCGAGTCCCCACTGCCGCGACAGCGGAGAAATCAAAAAGCGGAGCGTTATGTTCAAGAATTTCTGAGTGGGGTTTCGGCTTTAGGGTTTAGGGTTCACAGGTTTGGCGCTTAAAGGCGCGTCAAGTCGATAGCCAAAACCACGGAGCGACACGGAAAAGCTGACATCTGACAAAGAAAACCGCTTACCACAACCTGCCCGAAAAAAAGAAGGACAAACCCAAGAACCGGATACCTGCTGGCCTCGACTCAACAGGTTCAGGGTTTAGTGTTTAGGGCGGCATGGCGATTGACCGGAAAAAGCTGCAAGAAGAATGCCGAAGGTCTGTAAAATACCTGCGGTTATCTCTGCATTAAACTTACGGCAACCTTTTTTGAATCATTAGCAATACTTTCCCACAGCTTCCTTATTGTCGCCACAGTACTGGTAGAACACGTACTACTTTTGGTGTGTCTGCTAAATAATTTTTTATACATCATATTATATATATATATATATATATACATACGCGCAGCAACACCAAACCCTCTTCAAAACGTCATGGCCCAAACATTACACCGCCAACTTCCGACTCCTTGATTTTGTATATAGGTTACACCCAGAGGCTCCATAGTAGTTTCTTTTTGGGGTTCATATTTAGAGTCCTATAAGGTAATCCCAAAAAGGAACTACTGTAGAGCCTTTGGGCATATACTTTAGATGTTGGACCCGACACGAGTCTTTACAGGGATAATGACGATGTCATCCTGTATCAGTAAAAGCCTGTTTCGGCTGGGGTGCCTGCGTGAATACCAATACATAATGGAGCGAACCGTTGCGCTTTCCGTTCCAAAACTAGGTTTCGGGCGAAACACAAGTTGAGTTGATTTCTAATCTCAATCCCCCAGTCAGTTGTGACCTTACCAAACCTTTAGGTAAATCGAAAATCCTATTCTCCAACTAATTGGCACCCCCGGGATAGTCTGCAGGATTGGTGTTGAGATGTCTCTTGGGTGGGATCTCTTGAGGTTCCCTGCAAGCGGTGCGCGCTCCAGGATGGCACGCATGCGGGTGGCGGAAGCTTTGTGCAACCGTCATGCACTATATTTGGCGACTGGAAGATGTGGCATGTTGAGTTTGTGGCTGTGAGCCAAGTGTTGTTTTCCCGCCCCAAGCTGTGAAGTTTCTGCGGCATTGGCTCATTATCCATCATCCAAAGGAAGCGCCGATGCCGTGAGGGTAGACATGTTGAACACGTGAGAGGCGCACAGCAGCCGATGGCAGCAACCCACGCAGCATGTGACCGTCAGCGGGTTGATAACACCCGAGTATCTCAGACTTACGAGCTGTCAGTCTGTTGCCGGCGTTGCCGTGCCATGTCGTGGTTTGGAAGCTGCCTTGCTTGTACCGTCCTCAGCTTTGCACACTGGCATGGGATGACGTCCAGGTCGTACCTATCGCCCTTCAACTTGGATGTAGCGTTCATAAGTCAGGCCCTGTGGGCGAAACTGGAGCTTTCTGAAAAAGGAAATCAGGTAAAACATCCCTCAAAGAACAAAAGACTGCTAACTTGACAGTTTTCCATGAGAAAGAATGCCTTCCGCGCCTAAGGCGAAGCTGTTCAGAGGCTTCTAGCTTTGCGACGCCTCATGTTCTGAAGCGCATGGCCATGTAATTCGTAAGCCCTTTTTTGGATACAAGGTTCCTCAAACATTCCAGCTCCCTGTGAGATCTAGAATACGTTATATTTAACTACAGCCCAAGAACGAAGCACACAATACCCCAGCCGCCTGGCTACTTTTGCGAGTGTGTCGCGTTATGCAATGAAGCACAAAGCAAAATAGCGCGAATCCCAACAGTACATAGCATCCCTTCCAAAACCAATGCCCACAATAAACGCCCGAGACCTAGATGAACCTGACCTGACTCCTAAACCCTGAGCGCTGAACTAAGACAGCCCAAAGTCTTAGGCCTGTTTGAGCTCGCCAGGATGATCCTGGTTGGCCTTTGCCTCCTGGGGCTGCTCGTTTGACAAGGGGCCCCTGCAAGAGAAGCAATAGTAGTAGTAGTAGTAGTAGTAGTAGTAGTAGTAGTAGTAGTAGTAGTAGTAGTAGTAGTAGTAGTAGTAGTAGTAGTAGTAGTCGTAGTAGTAGTCGTAGTAGTAGTCGTAGTAGTAGTAGTAGCAGTAGTAGTAATAGTAGTAGTAGTAGTAGTAGTAGTAGTAGTAGTAGTAGTAGTAGTAGTAGTAGTAGTAGTAGTAGTAGTAGTAGTAGTAGTAGTAGTAGTAGTAGTAGAGCCAGCACCATTAGCAGTAGCAGTGGCAGTCGTCGTCGTGGTCGAAGTCGTAGTCTCCGTCGGTGATGGGAAGCGACCTGCTCGTCATTACTCTTGCTTGGTGCGTGGTTCGCAAGAAGCGGCACTGCGAAAGTTTACTATAGGGACCTTCGTAATTAGAATAGGGTTTCGGGGCCCATTGTACTAGAATCATAATAAGGAACCCCCCAAAATAGTATAGGTAATCGTAAAGGCAATTACATTATGTGCGAGGTGCTGGGCCGCCCTTTGTTTACATGGCTGCAGCCTGGAAGTTCGCAAGGAGAAGGCACCTTTGGGGAGCGGTTGTCGTGGTTTCGTCCGTGGTTCCGTAAGGCCGATACTACGGGAAAATGAGCAGGGAAGAGAATCAGGACCGACGCTACGGGAGAAATTTTTGTGCTAACGAAAACCAGGGAATGAGAATTTCCCATCCTCCGGATTCAGCATTGCCAAAACAGAAGAAGTCATCCCTTTCTGCGAGAAGTGGCAGATGCACCCTGAGCCCGAAATCCTGGGACTGCTCGCCTTCCGTTCCTTCCTAGCATTTGCTTCTTCCGAACTTCAGAGTGGATTGGGGGACACTTTTTGCGAGAAAAAGATTCCGTCTATTTTGAACGGGACTGGCAAACGATCGTGTCTTTGAATACTAAAAACCTTACGTGGTCAAGGCGACAATTGCTGGCGGCTTAACCACATCGCTGCAACAGGCAGTTATATGAACCCAGCACGAATGGGCAACGACGAAACCCCAGCCAAATCCCTGAACTCCAAAGCTCTTTCGTGCCCAACTTGCCCAACTGAACCCGAAACCCGTCAAAATCTTACACATCTCAACGTAAGCCCTAAGCGAGTCCTTGATTGCCTCCAGGCACGCTTGGTGCAGAAGATCGCAGAACTGCAAGGTGGGTGACTGGTTCAGGATTCCGATTCAAGCGCACCCTCTACCCAAAACCCGGAATTCTGACCCTGTGGGACCGAGCTCCCAGACCCCAACCTCCACCATCAAAGGAAGGCCGCCTTTAAAGCATGCCCAGGCGCAAGCCAGAGAGAAAGGCACAGTCTGGGAAAGAAGGGTGGAGGTCTGTGGGAGTGCAGGAAGCTTCTGGGGCTTGCTCCGTACACTCAAATTACTCTCATGTACTGAAAACCCCAACACCCTGAAGGTACGGATCTGGCCGAGGTGTCGTCGTGGTCGGCGGATCAAACCACCACGCTCCTCCGTTTCAATCTTTCGGTCAACCACGAACCGCACCAGAAGAAGAATCAACCACCGATAGGGCCCAGCCGATTGAGACTGTTGCAGAATAATTGGGATCAGCATGCTTTCGGTCCAGTCTCTGCACAGTCATGCAAAGTCCACATCTCAACGCTTCCCAGGTGAGCCAGCATACTCATTCCTACACCTTTGACGCTCTGCTTTGTGTGGCGAGCCTGCGCCGCACGGGCTCCTCCCTGCCTGTGGAGCTTTGGCACCAGGCCACTGTCAAGAGCATAAACCTAGTTGCTTGAGCTGTTTAAATTCTACGACAGGCATTTGTCCTGATTTAACTGTGAATTCAGCCGAAGTATAGATGGCGATGGCATGAATCAGTCAGCTCAGGATCCGCATCGACAAGTGAGTATGATCACCATGACGTCAGGCGTTGCCCCTAATGTAGCGCTAGCAACCAACATCACGACCGTAGCGATGAACACATAAACACTGCTGATGACGAGCTTTCAGCTTCAATCGAGCTTGAAAAGGCTTGGGTTTGCCAAGCCGAGGCGCAATGCTAGGATCTTTTGGTACAGGATGTGTTGACTTCTCGCGTTATCAGCACTCTTGTTCTTGCAACCTCTGAACTCTGAGAGAGAGAGAGAGAGAGAGAGAGAGAGAGAGAGAGAGAGAGAGAGAGAGAGAGAGAGAGATGCGGGGGGGGGGGGATCATAATTCAGCAGGCTCCTTTTGTCAAGCCCCCAGAACTTGTGCTTGCTAAGGAATACTCGGGGTGGTATTCCGGCATATTTGACAACTGGGGGACAATTCCACCGGCACTTTTGCACTTTTTCCGCAGCCCAGAACAGCTGCATGGGGGACGTTCCGCCCAGATCCCAATGAGAGCCCCGATGAGTGCCATAGGGGCGCGGGGACGAGGCACGTTGGGGGCCCCTAGTGTGAAGGGAGGGTCGGGGCTCTCGTTGTAACACCTGGAACATCCCTACCACTTTTTCCGATGCTTTGAGACCCCAAAAGCCGTCCACTCACTAATGCCTGAGGGTCGGGCCGACCGACCCCTAAGCCCGGCAGAAAGAAAGAAAGAGGGAGAGAGAGAGAGAGTTTGCATGTTACCCCCGGGGAATACATGTCGCAACACTCTAGAAGCCTAGTATGTTGACTTTATCTGTGATTTACTAAAGAACATGATCTGAAGCGGGAGCAGAATAACCCATTTTCACACTCCTCCAAAGTCCCCACAACATACGGGGGGCCCTAGTGGCCGAGGGGTCTCAACAACCCCTCATGCCCGGCAGAAGAAGAGAGAGAGAGAGAGAGAGAGAAAGAGAGAGAGAGAGAGAGAGAGAGAGAGAGCGAGAGAGGGAGAGAGGGAGAGGGAGAGGGATTCCAGGGGCGGCCCTCTGGGCGGGGGCTCGCCCTCTAGCCTTGCGAAAGAAAGAGAGAGTGATTATATAAGTAATCGGTTATAGGCCCCCTCTTGGGCGACCCCATGAGGGTACCCCGAATAAGCCCTAATTGTACTGCAGCCTTGCCCCTTTGAACTTGTATTCGGATTCATTCCGGGCCAAGTGGTCCCTGAAAAGATTACGGGGTCCGGTACTGTTATGAGGGACAGAAACGGACGCAAAAACATCACAAAAACAGACCTGTACATAGCAGCATGAACCATCGGCCACGAACGCAAAGCTTGTCCTGGCTAACAAAGGCTTGAAATCCACAGCCCACGCAAGCCGACAAAGTGCGATTGCAACGGAATGATTGCTCCAAGATGCCAGCTATAGTTCTGTCAAGTATGTTTGGTCTTGGCTCTCAGGATGCGGTTTTAAACTTTAGTAATTTAGGCTTGAGGATACACGATGCCGAAGCCAAACACTCGAACTTCATAAACGGTGCACGTGCGTGATCGGCGTAATCCAATGCTGGACATGCGTTGCGACACATGTTGTTGCTGCAAGGTTTCAAAAATCCTTCAAATATGTCAAATCTTCCCAAGCCCTAATTCCACCTTGCCACAAATATGTCAAATCTTCCCAAGCCCTAACTCCACCTTGCCAGTTCGATTGTCATGACAGGGCGATGCACACTTGCTCTCGGCAAAGCTTCCGGAGAGCCTCATCTGGTTTACGCGTTTTGGTGTTTGGTGGCATAGCTTGTTGTCGGCGCTTCAGGTCTTAGGGGGCTTATAAAAGTTCTGGAGCCAAGGACTTCTGAAGCTTGAAGGTACATGCTCAGCAGGGTTGGAGTTGCAAAGGTTTAGGGCAAGCTGTGATAAAGTGTTCAATGCCGTTGAGGTCCTGTAGATACCAGTTCGTCATTCATGGCCGTAGCTGCGCGTAAGTTTGGGTTTGGCGAGAAGACGTGAGGACGCAAAGCGCGTGACGACGTCAATGGCGTAAACGGTGTCGCACTATAGGTAATCGGCAGACGCGTGCCGGTAGGTAGTGTATACACTTATTTATTGTGTGCACATGTGCAGTTTAAATATTTCACAAACTGCCTCAGTTTTGGCGCGAAGACGAGAAGTTGCGAAGTTTGTGGAGACGTCAACTGCGTCAGCCCAAATTACGTATTGCCTATGGACGTCACTGCAGTACGTTGACTTCCAACCTCATGCGTAGTGCCGCAACATAGCAGGTATCAGTAGCCAAGCGGACTGAAACTGTGAGCCCTGAATACGGTCACGGGAGCCTCAGAATAAGACACATTGCTCTGCGGATCCCTGCACTTGCCTAGTAGCTGATCTTGCACACTGCGTCGTGCAGGCACGTTTTTCTCCGGGACTTCCGGGATGTCGCATCAGAGAACCTGCAGCTTGAACCAATTGGAGAGATGCTTATGCCATATGTGTAGAACCTAGAAGGTTGCGCTGTTGAGGTGTATCCTCCCCTGTCCTCAGTTTTGAGCCTGCAACGTGAACTAAGTAGTTCCTATCTAAACCTTAAATGCCTGGAGATTGCCTTAGATGTACCTACCGTGAGATTACAGCTGCTGTTGGTCGATCCAACTTCGAGTCATGTTCCCTTGCATTCCGGATCATAACCGTTGATAGTATAATGTCCTGTATTTTTAGAGTATCCGCCAAAGCCCTACTCTACTGATGCAGACCCCTATTGTAGGTGGTTTTGGCCCTTAGCTGCTAGCTGCTTAGCTCCGACCTCAGGGAAGGATATGCGCTCCCTGCAGTGGCAATGCTCCACTCCAGCTTCGAGGAGCTTGGGAGCAGACGACCCACCTATTTAAGCCATGTGGGAGTTTCCGAAGATAGTCTCCTAATATAGTACCCTAAAGTAGTAGGACTTGTTATAAGGACCCAAAAAAGGGTACCCCTAATTTTCGGAAACTCGCACCATCATCCTCCTCATCATCATCAAGCAGCATGATCATCATCGCTGTCATCGTCATCCTCACGGGAGTATAGAAAGGAAACCGCAAGCAAAAGGAGAGTGGGAAGGCTCGCAAGCCCCAGAAAGCTCTGAGCCAAAACAAACTCTGGTGGAGCGGCCGAGCCTCAGCGAATAAAGCAGTCTGCAATTATGTGAAAGATTCAAATTCGTGGTATGTGTTATATGTGATGTCACGAAGAGAATCAGGGCTTCGGGTTGGCCACGTCATGGCTTTTGAGATGCTGCACCTTTGTGGTAGGAGTTTCTCTATCTGGATGCGGACAACACAGTCCTCGTCGACCCCGCGCCCCTTTTCGAGATCTCTGCGTACACGACCCTGGGCGCAGTCTTCTGGCCAGACTTCCCGTCTTTCAGAAGCTCGAATGCCAGAGACCAATTCATGCGTATGTCTCTACCCGAGGAGGAAACACACGCCGAGTAGCAATCAAGATGCCAAAGAAGCTTGCGTTGCGTCGGTGGGCACTCTTTTCGGAGGTTTTTTTCCAAGGCAGCAGCCTCTATGATGTCCTGTTCGGCCGAGGACGAGACAGCTTGATCTGGCAGATGACAGACCAGCCATACTACCCGCTGCAAGAGGTTGAGAACGGCCAGCTACTGATCCACCGGAATAGGCATTTGGCGAAGCTGGAACTGGCCTATTACTTCAGCATGAACAAGGACTCTCAGCCGTAGTCCTTTGCAATGAACTAGAACCTCTTGTAGGAGTTAGCCACAAAGTCCTTCATTCCTGCACCACCCTGTCGAGACATCCCATGAGGATTTCTACTTCAAGATCACACTGGGTGACAAAGACCTCCTGATGATGGCATTCCTTGCATTGTCCACGCCGTTCCACCAGGCTCGCATGGTGCAAGTGTTTACCCGCACACGGACAGTATCCGATGCAGTGCGGGTTGAGAATGCATGTTGCAACTGGCTGGGAGGGTTTAGCAGTTCATGTGTCCTTATGAGCCCCAGGTTTCCACACCAACTGGGGCCATGGGCTATACAACAGCATCCGGTGCCTTTTGCGGTCACACGATGCTGCAGCATCATCCTTTGCACGAAGGCTTGCCAGTGTTTGCCCACCGAAATTTGCTGAAGTGGTCTGCCAACTTGGACCTGCACACCCCGTCGTGGACCGCTGTGAAGCGGGGGAGCCTCGATTTGGTTGACCTGGCGATGGGTTGGTTACTCCTTATCCTTTGGTCCTTGGGCCCGAGGTGTGTGTCTGTGTGTTTGTAGAGAGCTTTTTTATCTTGATCTGTCTTGGCTTTGACTTGTGAGGGTTGTCGTCACGGTTGGTGTTTGTTTCTCTGCCGAGGAGATCAACCGCCCTCACGCCGGGAAAGCAGCCAGGCCACCAACAGCTCGCCCCTGGCTGTAAGTGCGATGGCGCACACTACGCTGACGAGAACTATTGCGTGGACCTAGACACAGACCAGGACATTGATGGCAATGCATTCGCATGACCGAAAGTAGCTCGTGATTTTGTCACTGCATCGCTCCATTCAGCTATGTGTATGGTTGCATGCATGCATGTATGTATGTATAGGTATGCATATACATAGGTACATGTGTACGTAGGTATGTATAGACGGATGTATGTTTGTTTAAGTATGTACTCAGTACTCAGGTATGCGCTAGTGCGCATGTACGTTCGTGCTCGTCGCCGTTGCCGTCGTAATATTTGAAGTGGTGGTGATGGTGGTGGTGCTGGTGCTGGTGCTGGTGCTGGTGCTGGTGCTGGTGCTGGTGCTGGTGCTGGTGCTGGTGCTGGTGCTGGTGCTGGTGCTGGTGCTGCTGGTGGTGGTGGTGGTGGTGGCGGTGGTGGTGGTACGAGTAGTAGCAGTAGTAGAAGTAGTAGTAGCGGCAGCAGCTGTCGTTGAGGAAGAGGCAGTAGTAGCAGCAGCAGTTGTAGTAGGGGTGGTAGCATCACCACTGCCATAGTCGTCGTTCTCGTCGTGGCATTTGCGGTGCCACTCTTCCTAGTACTTTCACGTTTGACGTTATGAGCCATGGATGGTGCTTATATAGGGGCCTTAATAATTAGAAGAGGGTTTTGGGTCCCGTTATACTAGAACTATAGTAAGGACCCCCCAAAAAATAGTACAGGTAATTATTAAGGCACTATAGTAGTCCTGTCTTCCAGGACATATCTGCCGAGGCCAGCCGTCTTCTGGAGACGGCTGCTACACTCGAGCAGGAGCTTCTGAGGTGCGGGCAGCTCCTACTACAGGGGCCTTTGTTACTACCTATACTATTTTAGGGGGGGGTCCTTATTGTAGTTATAGTATAGTGGGCCCCAGAACTGTTTTTGAATTGTTAAGGCCCCAAAATAAGACTCCACCGGGAAAACGAAACAACAGCGAAATTAAAGCTCTTCAAGGCTGCGGTAATATCCTACAAACCTACAGACCTTACAGAAGCTTATCTGTAGACCACGAAGTTTCCCAGAACCCTGATAGTAGCCCCTATAGATCAGCCTTCTCGTATCCGCTAGTAACCCTTGCTGTAGCCCTTTTAAAATAGCTCAGATATCGCAAGCCCAGTAAAGTCTCTGTGAGGCTCCGTGAGGCACTCCGACAGGGGCCGACCTTGAGAAGCGAGTGGTGGGTGACCTGGGCTTCCTCCGCGCCTCAGCGGTGAAAAGGGCCTCAGGGGGTTTCTATCTGTTATCTGTCGGGGTTCCCTGAAAAGGGACTTGCAAGCGATACTGCAAGCGGAGTTCAGAAGTTTAGGGGTTTGGGGACGAAGGGAATTGTGATTTGTGGCTTCCAGAGTTTAGGGCCCTCAGGTAGGCTTCGATTTACAGGGGTTTGGTCTTCAAGAGTTTGAAGCTTAGGGCCTCGAGGGCGTAAATGGAACTCTTCCCTGACATGGCAGGGTTTCGCGTTTTTGCGTTGGGATGAACGACTGGATTCCAAAACGCGGTCGAACACAGCTGCATTGGGGAGCGCGCTTCCAACCCACAAGCCCATTGAACAGGCTATGATTCCAAGCCTTTCCATACCAGAAACTTGGTGAACCCCAAAGACCCGAATCCCCGGGCCGATGTTATGCTACAATATACTTGACTATAATAAGAACAAGATACGATTATGTAATGCAGTTTTCTCTGCTATACTATACTTTCTGGCAGCAGATTACAGTAATGATATAGGTATATAATATAGTAATATATAGTAAAAAGTGTATACCAACCCCAAAGCTGAGGTGCAGGCCCCTTCTTCGAGCATGGCCTCCTCGTCGGGTGCTTCCTGGCTGGCAGCCTATCTGGCAAGCTGTGTGGAGTCGATACCTGCCGAGGAGCTCGAGCTCCTTGGGCTCATTGTTTTGGGGAGTTTCGGGACAATAGGTTCTGGGGCTTCTAGGCTTTCTAAGGCCCTGGGGGCTTGTAGGGTTCATAGAGTGTAGTTGCTGAGAGCGTTTAGGGCCGAAAACTCCAGGAGGTGTGGTGCTAGATTCTGCTAGATCTCGAGGTTGCATGGCCGGCGTCTAGGATGACGTGACTTGACATGGTCTGAACCCTGCATCTGCAAGAATTTAGGTCACGTTCGGGTCGCTCAAACATGACTAGTACCCAAGACATGGTGCAGTCTTGTTGTGCAATATCACATCCCGAGCTCGCGGCTGACCCGGTAACGAATCACGGCTCCGACTACCAAGAGTATATTGATCTGAAGCTCGGAACACTGAACCAAACCTGCAGACCCAAGCATCGACGCTCGACTGCAGCTCGCAGGATTGGGTTACTTCAGGGCTTTTCATCTACGGTAAAAGGGCTTGCATATTTTTCCAAGATGCCCGGTACCTTGGTGATGTTGGATATTCTGGCAGCTCATGTCGGTTTCTCATAGTCATAGATTCAGAGTGCTCTGGCTGCAACGCACACCTACCTCCACACCACACGAAGAACCAGAACGATAGGTTCCCGGAAGCGGTACCAACAAGCGAGCGATGCACATTGACAACTCTGCTCCCGCAAAGATTCTGAATATGCTACGCATTCGCACTCGGCACCTTGCCTTTCTTGGCTCTGGTCAACACCGCTTCTCATGTTTGGTGTTTTGCCTGGTTTGACTCAGGGTTCACCGTGCTGGTTTTGGGCTTGATGCCGGGTGTCCACGTATCTTCACCTCTGCTGGTTTCAGAGACTTGGGGGGGAACTTGGCAAGAAGGGTTCCAAATAGGCCGACGGTGCGTGTAACTGTGAAAGTCCGAACTGTCCCACGACAACTGAAAGAAACTCAGTCGAAGCAGACAACGTTGAGACAAACACTATGGTCATCATCAGAGAAACACATCTGATAAGGTTCGACACCTTGGACAACGGTGGAAGCGAAGGATGGGCCGAGCATCCCCACTCGAGCTCGGGGCGGCACATCAGGCACCAACATGGTCTGTACCCACAGGCGTTCATGTTTCCAGTTCTCTAGTCTAAGAGGCTGTCGAAAGAATTTACTCTAGTACAGGCCGACTTCATCTAGAAATCTACGCTTCTTCGCCGTTCAAGTCAACCTAGTGTTTGCTAGCCTGCCTGGGCCGGTAGCGCCAGTTGAGCACCAAAGTAACGGCATCAAGTTATCTAGAGGAACCCAGGCCAGTGTTGCGTTCGTTTGTGGAACAGGTGCACGCAGGCCCTGACGCCGAGCAAGCTTGTGTCAATACAGCATCCGACTTTCCTGCGCAGGTGCTTAGCAGAGCACCCGGAGCTTCATCGTATGGCCCTCACGTTCTACGGCTACCCAGGGCCGTCGCTTCGTCCAATCCGGACCTAGAGGTGCTGTGCTGGATTGAGTGGGTCATTCTTGGCTTCAGGGTGGACTCTCTTTCTGCCGATCCCGAAAGTTCTGCAATTGGCAGCTGGAGGTTTAATCATAGCTCGGAAGGATGACAAACAACCTGTCAACAGCCCCAAGCCCTTACATCCGAAGCCCTTTAAACCCTGGAGGCGGAAAGCTCTATGCCTAAAACTCGAAACCTCAAGCTCCATACGGTCGACAGCAAGGATGAAACCCAGGTATCACAGCTGTCAGTAGCCTTCTTGCAGACCTTAGCATTCGCCCGCCAAGGAACGGAGTCTTCTCAGCCGCCTTGGGCCTCCGCTCCAAAGCACCGAGCCTAGGATTCAGATATTCGGGACACCTACGAGCTCCGCATTTTTCACTTTTCACATCTGCATCAGGCTAGATATCAGAAGCACATCTGTAAGCAATGTTGTCGGACTCCGGGCCAACTGCAATCGAGAGGTTCCCCATGTGGCCGATCAAGTCCCATGCGCATTTTGCCACACCTCAACCTTAAACCAGTAAGGCCCAAACCCGTAAACCCCTAAGCCTGAAACCCTTGCAACCTAATCCCGAGCCCACAACCCAGAAAAGTGGCCTTGAAAAAGTATAGTATAGTATATTATACCCCGAAACCCTATTCAGAATTATGAAGGCCCCTTACAACCTAACCCCAAAGCTGTTAACCCTAAATCCTACAATGCCCTATGGTACCCTTTAGATTCCTTTAAAGGAACCCTAAACCCCTGTAGATCCGTTTAAAGGAACCCCTAAACCCCTGTAGATCCCTTTCAGGGAACCCCTAAACCCATATATGGCACCCCATAACTCCCCTTAAAGGACCCCTAAACCCTATAGTACCCTATATATCCTTCATAGTAAACCCGTTAAAGGACCCCCCTAAAAGGCCCGAGCGGGAGCAGACCCTGCGCCGGCCTTCACCTTCGAAGCCAGCGAGGCCATGGCCGCCATTTTACAGGAAGGAGGGTTGAGGGTTTGGGGATAGCGACGGTTTAATTAGGAAGGAGGGATGCCTGAGTTAGAGGTCACTAAATTCAGAATCCTACTTGTTTAGGAGGTCAGGATTGGTTAGCCACTACAGCAAGGGTCCTATTGGATTAGGAGTCACCATAGCAAGTGTCACACTGTAGGTGGCCCCCGAGCTCTACACCACACATCGGCGCTAAACCCCGAAGTAGTCAGTAAACTTCCCCCCTTGGGCTACCTTGCTGCCCACACTGTGGCGAATGTGTGTCCAAAACCTTTTGTTGCAATTCGAAAACATCCTCAGCGGACTGGGCCACCTGTGCTGGTGCCAGGAGCGCTGCAGAAGAGGTTTGGCCTATCTGGAGGCCGGTATTCTGGCTTCCTGCCGGCTTCAGCCTGTTCTTGAGTCCTTTCCATATCTGCATCGCTAGGCTGAGGGCATGTCCAAGTACATTGACCTTCGCTGTGGCATCCTCTGCGAGAGCATGACGGAAGCGGGCTGTCGCAGGCAGCGATCTGCAAGAAAGATGGCCTAGCTGATCAGTCAAGACTTGTGAAACTTGTGAATTCGAGGGCAGAGCCTTGACAGGTTGAGCTTGCAATGTATCCAGATCCTGACATCCAAATGATTGAGCTGGGATGAGCTGGAGTTTCCTCCCCAAGTCTTCCGAAGTTGAAGGTCTCGGTCATGTAGCAGACAGCTAGTCGTTGAAAAATGCGGCCATCAAGACCTTAAACCGTAAACCTTGTAACCCTGAACCCTGAAAGAAGTCTCACTCAACCCTGCGCAGACATCGGATCGCCAACCCCGAGCGAGCTGAGGTTTACGACTGGGCTTTAGGGTCTTGGAACCGACCCAAACCCCCAATGTCCAGTATGTGCCATGAAGCTGGGGCGACGAAGCGGGAATGAGAGGTCAAGCGACTTGGTGGTTATCTCGGTTCTCCATAACCCGGGTTCAACATAGAACCCTAAACCCAACGAGAGGGACCCAGCCCCTTCAGATACTTGACTGGCACAGTGTGCCCGGAACGTCTGGACTTCCTCTCCATCGACTTTGCTTTGGGCGTGCCGCCCCTGATTTACCGAAGTCTGCTCACGGCCTGCCGGCCGCGGGCCTCTTGAGCTGCACAAAACGGGGAAAACTAGGCTTGGGGTTTGGGGGTCAGTGTAAATGAGGTTCAGGATTGATGGGTGGTGACGGTGAGAGTTGATGCTTTCGAGTTGCGAGGTTGGGGCGTGTGGGATCCTCAATACAAGGGCGAACCGGTCAGTACAACGTACATCTCTACTTCTGGCCTTACCGACCGGAGCGTGCGGCGAGTACATTCCGAGATTGCCCAGGTCCTCTTTGCTGAGAACAGCGGCTTGAACTTGAGCAGCTTGCCAGGCCAGGCGCGGATGAAGCCTTTCTGAGCAGCTTTAGACTGCCATGAGGCTTTACCAAGCTTCAGAGGGGCTTCAAAGGCTGAACCCCAAGATGAAAATCATTTCAACAGCCATGATTGGAGCAGTAGGCTTATTCAACCACGCGTCCGTCCATGTAGTCCTTGGCATTTGATGCCGTCTCCAGGGAACGCGGTTTGCAGACGCCGTACAAGACACATGGGCAGGAAGGGCTTTCAAGCTCCTGAACGGAGCTGCTAGCTGACCAGGGGCACAGTCGGCCCTAAGCCCTACACCGTGACCTGACAACCCGAAGCCAATCCCAAAGCCTGGCTTCGAAACCTTCAAAACCCTGAGACAGAAGAATCGAACCCCCTAGATTAATATAGGGGCCTAAATAATTACAAATATTATTTTGGGGGTTTCTTATCATGGTTACAGTATAAAATTATACTGTTCCCCAAAACCTTATTCTAAGTATTAAGGCCCCTACATTATAGTGCCCTTAAAGATCCCTTGTAGTAACCCTCACAGGCCCCTTTAAAGGACCCCTATTCAAATTATGAAGGCCCCTGTATTCGACTCCAGGCCAGGATGACGAGTCGCACTCCAACTTCTCGGAGCACGACCCCACGTCCTGGCATCACTGGGAGGCCGAACCAATCGAGTTGAATCTGAGGTTTTGCAATATGCATGGCGTATGTGTAATGTGTAGGTGGATATGGCTGGTTGTCAAAATTAGGGTCCCTTTTGGGGTACCCTAAATACTGGGTGCCGTATTATAAGAGGTACCCAAAAAGAGACCATCATGTTGACAACCACCCATGTAACTACAACGAATCCCAAAACAATATGCAGCGCACTACAATATAAGCAAGCACAGTGTAAACATGTGGTCAGAATCTGTCAGAATCATACAGTTGATTACACTGCAGCAAGCCCCTGAACGCAATCAGTTCGTTTGCGTCCAATTTGTTTTCAGCGCTAGTCTACAGTGTTTGCCGTTCAGCAAGTCGTGAGGAGACAGACTGAGGCGGCGAATCGACGCAAGATCTCACAACTGTGGGTTTCGCATGCACATAGTGAGGCTTTGAACCCTGATCATGGTCCTTGTTGTCGCTGCGGTAATGTAGAGTTTGGGGCACATTACGCTGTAAGTATCCAAGCGCCCCAGATTACCCCAACCACAACTATTTGTCTGCCGAAGCTCTGGCAACCCCAAACCCCTACCTCAATACTTTTGCAGAATCTTTTGGTCTGACATATACATATGTGGCTCCAGAGACCTAGAACCTAAACGGGCATCTGAGGAACTAGAGTACTCTCGTAGTTTCGGATCTTTGGGGCCCACGACAGGGCCATTCGCGCGGAGCAGCAAAAACATCCGATGAGAGCCCAGCAGCAGTAAGTTGTAGTAAATCGCGGAAAAGCTCCTTGGAGAAGTTCACACATCCGTGGTCCTGGTCCTGCGTCCCTAATGGAGCGAGCCCTTACCAGACCCTTACAGAATCCGTTTAGAACCTCTTGGAAGCCTTGTATCTAAACTTACAGAGCCCGCTTGGCGCCTTTGCAGAACCCTTACCTCAACCCCAAATAACCTACCTGTTTAAGGACTTATATCATAATACGGAGGCTTAAAAAAGGAAGGTTTTGTAGGGTCCAGGTAACCCTTGTAGAAGACTCGCAGGACCAGCTCCACCAACTCTCTGCCCTTGGTCAGCCCTCCGAATTGGGCTCTTACCGCGACTCGGAGCAGGATTTGGATTTAGGGGTTTAGAGTTTGGTGTTTCGGGCTTGGGGGCTTCAGGGTTTTTAGCATGTCGGGCTTTTAGGGCTTAGCACTCAACAGTTTCGGATTTACGCGGTTTACGGTTTGGGTCTTCAGGGCTTATGTAGGGTATTTTAGTTTCAAGGATGCGGTGTGCTCTTTGCGGCTTGGGCTAAGATGTTGTCTGCTATCCCTGATTTGAGGTTGTCGAGTTCGTTTGCAAACCACAAACAATTCTATTTGAGTAGAAGAAAAGGAAGGGCAAGGAGGGGTGCAAACGAGGGCAGGATGTGCGCAACTTCTAAAAAATCATAAAAGCCTCTGTGCAGAATAACGGAAGGTGCTCGCTGTAGGTTCTAGCCTCAGCCGAGTGCATGCTGGCAGGCTCACTTTCTTCATCTTTCTTCTGTCTGGGCCTGTCGTGAGTAATTACGGTTCTCCTGCTGCTGCTCCTTGTGCTGGTTGAGGGTCTTGTAGTTGGTCGCTGCCGGCTGGGCCAAGAGAACTAGGCCTGAGATTCGGCCCACGGAGATTGAAGCCTCTTCTGCAAACGGCCACGTCCGACTCACAGGGTGTGACGTTTAGTGCTGCCTGCCGCATCCATTCCTATGGATAGCCCCACCCTAGATCCAACCCTCCTCGTGCCACCGAAAGCCCTGACACCTGGAAAGGTTTAAATTTAATGAACGAGCAATTGAAGCATCGGGGCCTACTAGTTTCTGGGGTACTATGTTAGCGTTCCTCATTTTCGGACATCCCCAAGTAAAGGAGAAGGAGCTCCAAAGGGCCTCGAGTATGTAGCAGCAGTCGTCTTGACTGTACCAAGTCCTGCACATCCTGCGCTGGGAGCCATGTGGACACTGAAGCAAAAGCTATCACGAGGAGTAGGAAAGTATTGTTATTCCTCGGTCGGGCTAGAACCTATACCTCAAAATCCCATTCTGATTATCAGGCCTCGCTGTGGATCGTCAGCCCTCCTCCCTGGATGCAGAGCGGCCAAAGGGCGGCTTTTTCGGTCTCTTCTCCAAGCCCCCCAGATTCGAAACTTCAGAAGCCTTGGGGTTTTTGGGCTTTGGATCTGAAGATTTCGGGCCCCATCTAGCGGTTGGGTTTGGGCCTGTTATCAGAGCTTGAGGTTGGGGCAGCCTGTCACAGTGAAGTGGAGAATCGGGAAGCTAGGGGCTTCCTGTTCAGCTGCTTGAGCTCTGGTGCCGCGTCCTCCTGTTTTTCGCATCCTGAAAATTAGTTTGGCTGAACCTGGGGCCTTGCTTCGCTGGTAAACTCGGCTACATCTTTGAGACATACACTTCAACCAGCTGTTGCGACGGAACGTGTACTGGAACCCAAGTTTGTTAGGCTGGCTGTCCACTTAGCGTGCGAAGGCCCCAAGACAGCGAGCTACGGCGCTTCTCTTTGTATGTGGCGGAGGACAGTGGCATCGGGGAGGCTACAACGATGCGGAATGGTGGCCTCACCGGCAGTGAGCTGTAGGTGCGAGCAAAAGAAAGCTAGCGTGAAGGCTTGGAGGCCCGTGGTTCAAGCTTCATGCATGCAGCCTTTCCTCCTCTCGCTACCCGAAGGAGTGCGGTAGAGTGTAGGTGTTGGGATCCGGCATGCACACGAACGGGTACGAAGGTCCTCCAAGAAGGGAGACTCAGGTTCGCGAATTTGTAGCAGCCCTTCTCGCAATCATTTGCAGCCCAATATCCCAAACAAAGTCTTTCTAACGATCAAAACGTAAAGACGCAGGGAACTTGGACCTGCCCTTCAAATATTTGGCACCAAGACCGACCAACACATGAAAAGTGAATTGAAATTAAGATATTCCGTTGCCTGCGAAGTATGAACTGCTTTTGAATCTAATTATATATTTTCAAAATAGAATAAGAAGAAGAATAATATCATTTTCAATTTTTGGTTTTAAAGTGAAATAATCTTGATATAGATTCATATCATGAATATTTATGATTGTTTTTTCTCGATATTTCTAAAATATAGTATTTAATAATTCTGAGAAGATGAATATTGAGTTTTCATATTTTCATAAAGAG